CTCTTCACTTCCTTAAGGGCTGAGTTAGCAAGGAAATACCGAATTTGACAATCAATCTAGAATTTTTGAAGGACTGGCAACTGAGCAGAAATTCTACTACGGTTTTACCTCTGTTTCTTGTGGAAAGCACTGAAAATCCTATCCTTCCTTGAGAGTTCACTGTAAGAGTGATTCTAAAACTTTTAAAATTGGCTACGGTACTCTTTTGAATAGTGTTTTGAGAAAGAAGTCTTAAAAAAAAATTAATTGCACTTAGGAATTTACCAGTGTTTCATTTTCTTATAGTTGATATGAGCGGACTTCAGTTAGAACACAGACCACTGAAAGCCTAACCAGAACAGTGCAATTTGGAGATTGGGGGGAAAAAAGACAGCGAACCCAGCTGCTGTGTATAATGTTTGAGGCACAGCTGAAAAGCTGTTCTGGTTTCAGCTGGTTTCAGTGGTTATTGCCTCTACTGGTTCCAGAATTACCATGTGGTCGTGTTTTGCACAGTTCTTCCAGCTGACCTGCTTCTCTATCAGTTTCTAATCTAATTCTGTGAAACTATTGTACATATGGGTTTTGGTAACTCTGATCACAGCACTAGATGAAAGGGATACTTTTATACAGGCATCATTACTTAAAAGTTTTTGCCCTCTGCTAAGAGAAGAAAAAGGACTGTAAATTGTTTGCTCTAGAAAGAATAATTCTTAAAATTGCTGTAATGCAACATCATAATAATTCAGCTTAACTTCTGAAGTTCTTAAGAACCTAATTTTAAAAAGTTTAGGCTAATTGAAAATTAATTAATTGAGGTGCTGTTACATCCCTGAATTTCTAATGTAATATAACAGAAAGACTATCCCAGTATTGTGAACTTAAAAGTTTTTGAGAAATTGAAATACTAGCCTTGCCAGTTTGCTAATGATAAAACAAATATAATCTAAATTGTCTCCTGTATTCTATAATCTGCACATAGTGAAGCTGCTTGATTTCATGCATTTGCTGTTTCTGAAAGTGTGAGCAGCTTAACTTCTGAAGTTCTTAAGAACCTAATTTTAAAAAGTTTAGGCTAATTGAAAATATCCCCGGTCCTGTTTATGTTATTCTGTTGGCAAATAAACAAATCTGATTACTGCATTACAGAACATTTTAAGCAATATGGCATGACTATGTTTAAAGCAGAAAGTTAATTCCAGTCTCATTGCATTACAGAACATTTTTTTAATGAACTGTCTTAAACATAGTCATGCCATATTGCTTAAAGCAGAAAGTTAATTCCAGTCTCATTAGCATGACACTTAAACATCCTTGCAACTTCCTCATTATTTAAAAAAAAAAAAAAATCAATAGCAGACTTCAAAAAGTTATTTTCACAGCTATGATTTCAATTATATGACTAAAACATCTGGGTTTGTGTTTTTGACAGCCCGACACTTCTTGCATCAAATTATCACGGGTATGCTGTATCTTCATTCTCATGGAATACTGCACCGCGACCTCACCCTTTCTAATATTTTACTCACCAATAATATGAACATCAAGATTGCTGATTTTGGACTAGCAACGCAGCTGAAAATGCCTCATGAAAAACATTACACCATGTGTGGAACTCCAAATTACATTTCTCCAGAGATAGCCACAAGGAGTCCACATGGACTTGAGTCTGATGTGTGGTCTTTGGGCTGTATGTTTTACACTCTTCTTATTGGAAAGCCACCTTTTGACACTGACACAGTCAAGAACACATTGAATAAAGTAGTATTAGCAGATTATGAAATGCCAGCCTTTTTATCAAGAGAGGCACAAGACCTTATACATAGGTTACTTCGCAAAAATCCAGCAGATCGCTTGAGTCTTTCCTCAGTGTTGGATCATCCTTTTATGTCCAGGTGTAGCTCTGCACGGAGTAAAGATACAGGAACTTCAGAAGATTCCATGGACAGTGGAAATGCTACCATCTCTACAACCTTCACAGGCTCTTCCAGCATCAGTACCAGTGGTTGCTTGAAGGAAAAGAAGAAGCTGATAGTTGGACAGCCACTCCCAAATAAAATTACATTTTTCCCTAAAAACAAGAATTCCAGTAATACTTCATCTGTAGATGGAAGTGGTTCTTTTCATCAGTGGGGAATTCCGGGAAAAGAAATTGGCACGACTGGCTGGGGTAGAACCATGCAACTTGCTGAAGAGAGACCACATTCCCGCTACCTCCGAAGAGCCCACTCTTCAGATAGGTCTGGCGCATCCAATAGTCAGACTCAAGGCATATCAAATATTGAGAGGTGTCACTCTGTGGAACTGCTTTCAAAGCCTAGAGTAGGAACAAGGGAAAATACAGAATGCTTTTCACCTGCAAACAGCTATACTGATATAGGAGAAATATTTAAGAAGGCTTCTAGTAGTTCTGGTTCTTTTGAAGGGCAAATATCTCCACCTGTTAAAGATCAACCACAGTAAGAATCGGTTTTTATTAAGATGAAATTTAGAGCTGCCTTGTATGTTAAATGCATTATTTTTCCTGTAAGTTGTAGTAAGTGTCAGAAGTCTACACTGGTAGCTTGAATACCAAACAGGAGAAGGTGATAGTTGATGCTGTTGCTGTGTAGAGGTTTGCCTCCCTACTGTGTGTTCAAGTTCATAGATGCAGTGGATCAGCTAGTTAGATTGTGGCTTTTATTTATCCTGGTAATACTCTTCTACTTAGTTCCCTATGCAGTAAGTTGAGTTTTTCATTCACCACAGTGAAAGAAATACTCAACACAGTGAATTGTAGTAAGGAGCCTTGTTAATTGTTCTTTGTAGAAGAGAGATTAGGGTAGAAGGCATTCAGAGTGCAACTACTAACGTTTTTATGTGCTGCTCTGTGTTTTTTTGCTGTTCATGTTTAACTATGTCTTATGCTTAGTAAGATAAAAGGGGGAAAAAAAACCCCAACAAATTAAGTACAAGATTATGGACTTTCCCAGCTTAAAAACCAACTTGGGTGTCAAATCTACAAGTGATGCTAGGGTGTTTTCTGTGCTGTTGGAGGCCTCATCTTCGCCTTCTGTGTACTACTATGCAACAAGAGCCCTTCTTTTGGCAAACTCAGTCTATGCTCAAAAATTGTCTTTGTTTCTTTCATGAGCAGAATATCAAAGAACACTTTTCTATTTTAATGTAAGGACTATTGCATACCTTAGTTCTTGCATTTTTCTCCACATTAAGAAGTAGTAACTTTGTGTGATGGTCTAATATGTTTTTCTTTTTTAAGATCAATTCAGGAAAAATGAAAATGAGCGCTTTGCCCTGCAGAAAAAGTAAATGGAATGAGAGGTTTTTCTTGACTGTTCACAAGTGTTTGATGTCAAAATAAGCCTCTGTTCAGCAAGTGCAATGGGCATGTGCTTTCTTTCCAGTTTGAGAAATGTTTGAACCAAAAAAGAAATTATTTATACGAATGTTAACATAATGCTTATATTCCTAATTGCTTCATAAATACATGCTATATATAAGTGTGACAGAATATTAATATGAGCGTGGGGATTAGTTGAATGTTTACTACTTTTTAAAAATGGTTGATTGTAGGAGGGCCTCTTACATCAATAGTTAGCCTGCACAGCACTCTTAAATGCAAGATTCTAAGACCTAAATTAGATGCTTATTTTCTTCTGTGGTTTTTTTTGTGATAACTGCGTCCTTGCCAATGCTAAAGTAGTGATCATTGCAAAAAGAAAGAACAAACAGGTACAGGCTACAGAGACAGAAAACCTCACATCTTGGTGTGAATTTAGAACAGATCAGTGATTCTGCAGTAACTGGTTTTTGTGTGTATTCTTCAATATGGGGATTATAGCTTGAGTTCACCTGTGAACATTGTCTAAAAAGCTGGTAAAAAAATCTTTATAATTTTGGGGATTTACTATATTTTATATAAACTCAAATTATTTTAGGTGCTATGATTGCCTACATATTTCAGTTGCATATTTATATGTCATTCAGTTATGCTGAATGAGATCCACTGGGGTCATGGGTGTCATCCCTGAGTCTTCTCTGTGAATTAAGAACTAGATGTAAGAGCAGCCACTGCTGGCAGCATTATCACTGGCTCTTTTTGTTTAGATATGTCAGTTCCAAAAGTTTACTAGTGAGTGCTAACAGGCTTAAATTTGCGGTAAAAATTACTAATAATTTTTAGTTACATTTGAAAACAGTATTTTCTTTTTTTATACTTTACCCAATTAACATTCCCCATGAAAAAAGCAGCATGTTCTGTGCTGTCACAAGCTGCAGAATGCAGCTGGATTTCTTAAATGTTCTACAAGTGTCGTGTTTTCTGCAGCTGTAACACGAGCTTTTTTGTGCAAGTGTTTTTGATGTAATCTTGATTATGTGTGTAACTTTTACTTTGCAGCTTAAATTATCTTTACCCAATGAAGCCTCAGGTTGGTTTGTTAGAGCAAAAGTCTGAGGCTGAACCAATGCAGAAGTGGCTTGGAAGCATGCAAACAAATGGTATGTTACTAATCAGTTGTATATTTTTGCACTCAGGTTGGAGTAGTGTCATGTAACTGTTTCTGTGGGTTTTGTGTATTTTATTTCTTTAAACTTGTGACATAATGTGCCAGCATTATACCGGAGTATAATGCTGGCATCCTAAACAACAGCAACTGGATATGAACAGAGGCTGCTGCAGACAGACTTTTTTTTCTGAATGGGAAGCAAGGTAGACTCTAAACTGCCTTGTTACTGCAAAAAAACTGGCACAGACATTGAAAGAGGCACAACGATTTCCAGCATCAATAATCTGTAGCATCATTTTTAAGCAAGAAATATCCCATTGAAAACATTGTTTTGTTCTCTTTTGGACTAAACAGGAACATTTTAGTTTCCAAAGGCAGGAATTAATTTCAGAAGGATTTTTGTTGGTGTTCCTCTTGAGCTCTGTTGGGTTGGTAGAATGAACTGCACGTAACTGCCTTTGTGAGAGTGAAGAAACTGAATACTTCACTTCCTAAAAGGAGGTCATTTTCTCCTTTTAGTATTTTAGCAAAAAAAAAAAAAGATGAAAACAGAATTCTAGAACTTGCCATAATTATTCAGTTGTGATCTGCAATGTGTAAGTATAAATACATGACAAAAGATTGGCAGGTGACTCAAAAGCTCTGTTAATTTAGTTGTGCAAATACACCTTAAGAGAATATGGGACCTCGGTGAATAAGAAAGGTGATAAGGCTGCAGAAGGAAGGGTGGAGGAAAGGACAAAAGACACAGAATGGAAGGTGGTGTTGTTGCATCGCATTACATCGTTTACAAATAATGTAATTTAATAATAAAACTAAATCATCCATTCTGGCCTTGTTTGTTCTGATATTACTGGACTCCTTCCCTTCCTGTCTACAGGGAATTGGAACCCTATGGCATATGGTCTGAATAATCCTATGTAATTTTTGGTCAACTGTTCTGCAATATGGCAGGAGGAGTGCATGCATTACTTGTCTGCGAGAGGTGAAAGTTGATGAAGGGCTTAAATATCAAAATTAAGGAAGCAGTTATACGAAGTTTAAATATAAAAATGGGGGTCTTTTTGTCTTTTAACAAATGACTTGAACAAATGACTCGAAATTAACCAAGGATTTTGTAACGTCCATTTAATATCAAGTGCTAAAATTTCTGGTTGATGTTAAAACACTAGTTAGCTAAACTGAAACTTAAGTGAAACTAGGTACTAGTGGTTATCTGAATGTCAAGTAAACTGTCTTTCAACGGATAAAACTAATTCTTGTTTAAGTATCTGTTTGAATAATCTTTGAATCTGCAATGTACCTTTATGATGCTTTCAGTTCAGCTGAGACCACCTGCAGACCTAGCTGGCAACAGTAATGCACATGGAGGTTTTCGGTATCATCTGGATGTGCAGCAAGATCCATCAAGAAATGCCTGGAACACCTTAAAAGATATAAGGAATCATGATGTGTCTGTCGACTGTCTGCATCCTTTAAACCAGAGAAACCCAAAGAAATACATCTCTGGAATTCTTTGCGAATCGGAGAACATTCAGCCATCTTCTATGTGTCGCCTTTGGTCAACTTCAGAACAAAACCAAATGTGGGGCAAAGAACTACCAGCACAACAGAAACCTACACTGCGAAGTACAGTATCACCTCTCAATGCCCAGAGGCTAAAACCAATCAGGCAAAAAACGAAAAATGCAGTGGTATGTGTCAGTTCTTAAAACAGAATCAATTTAAGTATTAAATATAGTGTGAATATCTTAAAAATAATGAAACTTAATCTATAACAATTTAAATTAAAGTTTTATAAGTAAGATGCATCTTAGTTTTTGTATATGGAATACTGTAACCTCATGGTCACTTGCAGCTAATAGTGACATGGCATTGCTTTTTGTTTACAAGCAAAGAAACTGTAGGTAGACATAACAAATATTAAATGCATATGTACTTCCTACAGTTCTAAAAATCTGTACTGCTTAGCTGTACAAGTTGCATTTAAGCATTCAACATTGAGATTTCAGCTGTGTCAAACACATGAAATGCTTTTACAGATTAAATATATAGCTGGATTAGAAATGAAAGTAGTCTTGCTCTCAAGTAAAAACTTTAATCTGTTTCCCTGTCTTGTGAGTGGCAAAGCAAAACAATCCATTAATCCTTACTGATAACAAATTTTGTGCTTGGTTTGTTCCTGGTATCACCCCTTTGCCTTTTGTTCCATTTCTTATAGTCTTGCTCATCCTGTCATGTTTCCCCCATCACCCAATTTGTTTTTTGTTTTTTGTTTTTTTTTTTTTTAAAATAACATAATAGAGCTGACCTGTCCGTGTTTGATTTGCCACTTAAGAAACCACGCCCTCACTGACCAGGTTTATAATCTTCAGTCATGCTGAATAGCACTAATAGCAGAAGTTACTGTAAGAAGCATTTATAAGTTTGCAGTACATTTGAGGAAGAAGAAAACCATTTTTTAAAAGTATTTGTGGAAGCAAATGCTATCTTATTTTGCCAGAAAGTAAAGGTCTTTGTCTAACATATACTTACTATATATTTTAGGTGAGCATTCTAGATACTGGAGAAGTGTGTATGGAGTTTGTAAAAGAACACCATTCACAAGAACTTGTGAAAGAAGTTCTCAGAATATCTTGTGATGGAAACATGGTGAGTATGTTTTCAATTTATTTATTATTATATAAAGGGCTTAGAGTATTCTGTTCTTTCCGAGTGATTCTTAATTTTCATTTAAGTGATTATTTGTTTGGAAATGTTTACATATTCCCCCTGCCCCCATAGTACAACCACACAAATATAGGCAGAAAGCAGTTATTTAAGAGCAGAATTGGACTTGACTTTTGGAATAGGTTTTTGTTGAAAAATGCAGCTGTTAAATAATGACTTAGAGGAATAGAGTGTTTGTGGTAAATTATGGTAATTAAATAAGCTGTGACTTATTTCCATACCTGTTGAATGTAGGGAGTGCTGTAGTAAATTGCAACTGTAAACACTTTTTTCCCTTTTTGTAGATTGCAGTTTATCATCCAAATGAAGGAAGAGGTTTCCTTCTCAATGACAGACCTCCTGCTCCTCCTGAAAACATCTGTATGTACAGTTTTGACAACTTGCCAGGTAACCTGAAATTTATTTTCAAATTATGACTAATGTGTTTAAGTGAATCTTGTTTGACACTTTTTAGCTTTGAGCTACTGCTTTTCAGATAATTGTAAAGATAAACCTCCTTTCAGAATAAGATTCAAACTGCAGTTTAACTGGAAACAAGTTAACAGACAAGCAGACAGATCTATTAATTAGAGATCAAAGACAGGCTGTACCTTAAGCCAGGAAGCCAGCTAGACCGTGATACCTAGTTAAATGGTATATGCAGCACTTCACTATGTTGTTGAGGTTCTGAACAACATGAATTGAAGCTATTGAAGATGCACACTTTTCTAATAGTTGGTGGAAATAAAAGTCAGTTTCTCTGAACAGGTTTCTTTAAGGCTTTTAAATATTAGTCACAACCGTCAGCTACAAAACACATATTTTAAATCGCCTCTCTCCAAGCTGGTGCAGAGTGTTTAATCTGAGGACCTCTTGATAAAAGTTTTAATTTTTTTTTTTTTAGAGAAGTACTGGAAAAAATACCAGTATGCAGCCAAGTTTGTGCAGTTGGTAAGAACTAAAACCCCCAAAGTTACATTCTACTCAAGATATGCTAAGTGCATGTTGATGGAAAATTCACCCACTGCAGATGTTGAAGTTTGTTTTTATGATGGTATGTATTCATTTTTGCAATTATGCATGTAGTTATGTTATTAAAGCTGCACTAAAATATTGCCAAACACTAAACAATGAACACTTCAGGTTGAGGAAAATATGAGAAATACTTTTTTTGCCACTCTGCCTTTATTCTAGCACTCGTAGATCAGTTTATTCATTAGTTTCTTAGTTATCTTCTTCAGGGAGTATACGTTACGAAAGTGTTGTTAAACTATGCCTTGTTTTCATTCATGAGCTCTTCTTTGTATATATGTTTGATAATTAACCTGCTTAGTGAAAGGTGTGTCCATGCTCCGAGCTTTCTGTTATTAACTGAGGCAATAATTACCAAGAACACTCACTGAAGAAAGCAATTGGTTGTCTTCTCCAACTTCACCTTTCATAAACTAGACTGCACTGACGATTGTTTTCTTAGTATAGACAACTAGTTGACTAGTCAACTAGTTTTATTTGCCACATGCATACATATACCCCAATAGAATTTATGGCAAAAAAAAAAAGACCTGATTAACAGCTCTGATTGTGTGGAGCTGCTATTGAAAGAATGGGCATGTTTTTAAAAAATATTCGAATACTAATAGAGCCTACTTAACCAATTTTTTGTCAATACTGTTCAAGATGTGAATTTTGTCTCAGATTAAAGTTTAGAAAGGTGGTTCTCAAAATATGTAATAAATGCATTATTCAACCCATTTAAGTAGTGATTTTTAGTGGCCATAGGGGGCATTCTGTTAACACCACAGGCCCAATTTAAGTGGCTTTTTATTTCTGTTAGACATAGAACTTGTGCAGGAGTTTTGTTCTTGCAGTAAATTCTTAAATCTGTGGGATACACTTTAGAGTAGAATGTAATGTCAGAAATCTGTATTTCATAGATGGTGGTACTTTATACAAATCAGACTAGAAATTTTTACATGTTTACAGGAGCCAAGATACACAAGACAGCTGGTGTAACTCGTGTGATTGAAAAGTCAGGGAAATCCTTCACTTTGAAAGGAGACAGCGAAGCAGGTTTGAAGAAGGAAATACAGGTGTATATGGATCATGCAAGTGAGGTAAACTGTTTTATGTAGACCTTTTCCAGTGCAAAACAGCCTTCTGAAAATTTGGTTTGTCTTTTACAAATATGATTCTGATGTTGCTTTTCATATTTTTCATTACACTACTGAAGAGGGGTGATGAAGCATTTTTTGTAAGAGCAGATATCAATGCTGAGGTAACAGTAACAATGCCTCACAGTGAAGACTTAGAGGAAATTCTTACTAGTATGTAAAGCAGGTTTGCCTGTCTGGTGAAGGGATTAAACAGAACAGATGAAGCTGCTTTACACAAGTTAGAGGGGGAACCCCCTCCCAAAAAAAAAAAAAACAAACCCCAAAAAAAACCAAACAACAACAACAAACCAACCTCCGAAAAAACAAATACAAAAAAGCTGCCAGGTGTTTCACTGACCTGCCTGCTGTGCTCTCCTTCTCTTGTTTCATGTCACCCAATTAGCAGTCATGAGATTAACTTTCTGTTTAGGAACTTAGGAAACAGTAAAAATATACAAATTTCCTATGCATTTTTCCCACTGTTCTGTAATTTTCTAGAAGAGAATTCAGGGGTCTTCTAGTCCCCATCTAGTCCTACTAAAAGGGGAGGAGATGTGATATTAAAAGCATAATTCCAGATGTGCTGAAGTTATGAGCGAGTCTAGCTATAGCTTTTTTGAATTATCTCCATGGTACATGAGTGCAGCTATTACTGACTTTCAGTACCATTGAAAAAAGCATTTGCTTGTGTAGGCTCACCTGCCACACCAAACATGTATGAAATAGCTATACTGTTCTCAGTTAAACTTTCACAAGCTCCTTCTCATTCCAGGGACATCGTATATGCCTTGCACTGGAATCTGCTGTTTTGGAAGAAGAAAAAAGGAGTGAAAGCGTTCCATTTTTTCCAATAATTGTTGGAAGGTAATATTTGCACTTGAAAATACTTACACAGATAATATTTGCAGAAGCCAGAGTTGCTTAACAGAAACTTGTAGTCATTAGCAAGATAAATATAAACTTGATAGTTTGTATGAACACCTTATTTTGGACCTGCGAAGCCTCCTTTGATACGAGGACAAAATATGCTTGTGGATGTGTAAAAACAAGTCTGCAGAAGACTAGTGCCATCGAGTGCATTGTACAGTCCATGGTAAACTGAAAGAAAAGCTACATCTATTTGCCTGTTTCTTTAGTCCCTTTTAGAAAGACTTCTTCCCAAATTGTCTCATTATTTTTCCAGAAAACCTGGCAATACTGAATCGCCACAGGCTCTAGCATCTCCACTGCTGGACAATACAAACTGTTCAAAAGAAGGTATGGCACTGGATAGAAATAAAGCTGCCAGTTCTACTCCAGTTCAAACTGCAAGCAGTACTCCTTCTGTAAGTACACAAGAACATACAGTACAGACTGCTCTCTAGTAAGAATTGAAATATTGCTGTTTTATTGGAACTAATGGAATTACATTTGTGTGGATGTAGGTTTTTATTAGCCATTTGTCAGCATAGTAACTAGAAATGGTGACTTTGATTTAAATTAACTTTTGATATCTGGATTTAAGATAATCTGAAAAGTCAAAATCCTCCAAACTTTACTACAAATTACTCCTGGGAATATAGTTTGAAAATTGCTTACTCACATTATCCAGCAGAGTCTTCAAATTTGTTCTGAGAGCTTTGCTGTGCTCTCAGGCCTGTATGTCAAGTGACAGTCACAAAGGATATTAGTGCTTGAGGCTACTGTTCTGAAATAATAGAATGTTAGTGCGTATAAAAAAGTGGAAGTGTAAATATATTTATATGTATAGCCAACAAGGCTTTGTGTGGAATTTCATCTAGTTCGTTTCAAAGACCCACCAAGCTTCAACTGCAGCATCACTGCTCTGATACAACATCCCCAGATGACTGAATTATATTGAGGTCTTAACACAATGAGTTTGTAATTTCTTAACTTTGTTTAATTTATGTGGGTCTGCATCTCTTTCATTATGTAGCACATGTTCTTAGGGCTTCAGTACTAGTATGGATTTTTATACACTGACTTAAGGTTACCCATCACCAGAGTTCTAACTTGAGGGTTCAGCATTCAAACTCATTCTTTTGTTTGCCATATAGCAAATGCTTAGGTCTTTGTAAGACTTGCCCTATTTGCTTTCTCTTCTGAAGAGTATTTCTAAGCAAAATAACACAATAACTCCTTGCTTTTCCATGTTATTCTTGACTCTTTTTGTCAGTTTCTTTGTACTTGAACTAGATCTGTATATCCTGAGGTACAGCTTGTTTCTTCTTTCAGGTTCCTGTAATTATCTGGATCCTGACCTCTTTCCTGACCAAGCTCTCCTATTTCAGAGACATTCCCCGACTTGCATCTTTTCACTGAACCCTGAATCTTAAATACTGCTAAGCACACCACCTCATCTCTGTCATCTCTGTGACTATGGGAGGAGGTATCTGAGTAGTAGAACTTTCATAGAAGCAGACAGGTTTCTCCTAGGCAGTAGTGGTAGCATTGTCCTAAAGGTCACCAGTATTTGATCCTCTGTTACTCTTAATTCACCACTTTTGTCTCTCCAAAGCTATAACAGAGTCTGTATGTGCTGTAGAACTCGGCTACTGATGTTTAAAATTCTAGTTTCCAATTAATAGCAATATCCATATTGTTGTAAAATATTAGCTAAGTGGTCATCTGAATGAGGGCTCTTTTATAATCTAACACGTGATGAATGTTTTTTCTGAAGATAGACAGGGCTTTCTGGTAGTCAAGTAAGGAAAAATGGGGTTAAAGTAGAAAAAGTCTGCTTAGGGAAAGTAATTATTTGGTGAGTACAAGAAAGCAGTAGAAAAAGTGTCATAATACTGAGCAAGTCATAACAAATCCTGTGGGGTATTTATAACAATGCTGTTAAAGGAAACATACTGGCTAAATTTATTTGTATATACTACAAGATTTTGAAAGGTGGCAATTGACTGCTGTAGTTAGTACATAATCAGTTGGATTAATACTAAGGTTGCTAATACTGTGCACTTCTGGGTTTTAGGTGGTGTCATATGAAAATTCTACACTTATGACTAACACTGAAACAACATGCTCCTCTGTTCATCAAACGGAATGCAGTCCAAATTCAGCCCAACTTGTAAAATCTGTATTTGTGAAGAATGTTGGTTGGGCTTCTCAGGTGAGAAAAGAATCCTGATAAAGATGAGAAATATTTTTTTTTTTTTGCTATTAAACTCAAGATATATATTTTTAAGTAATTATCTTTAACTTGATTTGTGGGGAATACATTCAGTTGTGTTGTGCTACAGTTTAAATCTCAATTGGTATGTGGAAGGATCCTTCCAAAAAAGCATCTTGGATAATACCATGGTGAACTACATAAGTGGAAAAAACCAGAATAACAGTTCAGTATTTCAGTTCCATTTATCACAATGTTCCTGTGGTTATTATCGCTCATTTGAGTGTCTTCAGTTATTTAAATTTGCCTCTAACAAAAAAAATAAAGCTGTTAAACTTCCATCTTTTCACTACTGTAAAGGTATCATGACAAAGTGCTTTTGTCAGATCTGTACAAGATGAATGAATCTGTGTATACAACAGGAAAAATTATTTCCTTACAGACAAATGTTCCCTCTGCTTTTCTGTGGGATCAGCTTTAGATTTAAAAAATGGTTCTCCCCAATCCAGATGAAGTGAGCTTCTTCTCCTAACAGGAAAAGTTTGCTTTTTGTATAAAAACTTGAAAATGTATATAGCTATGAACTCTCACAAATGGGCCTTCTATTTTACATTTGGTCCTACTTCTCTAGGAGTGGTTAAGCTAAAGGGACTTCTTTAGTCATCCTTTTCAATGACAGTTAAATAAAGCTGAGTATCTGAAACTTCAGGAGGTCTGATTCTTGAGACTGCATGAGACTACTTACTCCAAAGTAGTTTACATGCAGTCTTTATCTTTGAAAGACTGACCTAGGTACCAAAGTCACTTCAGCAATTCTGTAACACTTTCAGCTTCAATTAGAGAAATTCTACATGTATGAGCTTGTATTTTGTGTCCTCAAACCATAATGAAACTTGTCTTGTTAGCTGACCAGTGGAGCAGTATGGGTTCAGTTTAATGATGGATCCCAACTGGTAGCCCAAGCAGGTGTTTCTTCTATCACTTACACCTCTCCAGATGGCCAGACAAATAGGTGAGTCTATTGCTGCTATAAAAGTAGTTGTTTACTGTCAGTGCAAGACTGTTGTATATAAGGTAAACTTCATAGCTGCTATTCATTTTGTTTTGTAAATATTAAAACTTAGATTTCAATATCTTCTCAGTTGATGAGCTTATATATGCTTAATAAACAGAGAGAAACACCTATAGCTTTGAACTCGGGATAATGAATAAAAACAAAGCTGGGAATGCATCTACTTGTTCTCCAGAGTACAGCCCCTGTCTATGTACAGTGTTTAAAAATAAAGAGAGAGGGGGGGGGAAAAGTAAGGTTTTATACTTTATTTTTTTTGAAGATACTGCTAGATTAAGGAGATAGCATGTCAACGTTGATGCATTGACCTGAAGTGCTCAGGTGAAGTTTTGCATATATTTTGGACACTGGGCAGTTCCCATACAGGTATAGTCACTCAGTAACAGGCTGTTCTTTACAAAGTTTGGGACAGTAATATACAGTCCATTCAGATACCACTGCAGCTTTAAACATTTTTGTTAAATGTGTATAGGGAGGGGGGCCTGTATTTAAGCCTTCAAGTTCCAATTAATAATGTGTCTAGATGTACTTAACATCTGCTTGATTTAGTGGTTTGCCTATTTACAGGCAAGATTTGAAATCATGACACTGTCTGGAAATAAAATTATTTCAAGTATCTAAATTTTGTATGCTTATTTGCCTTTCTAGGTATGGAGAAAATGATAAATTGCCAGAATACATCAAAGAGAAGCTTCACTGTCTGTCTTCTATTCTTGTGATGTTTACCAATCCAGCTGGTCCCCACTGATTAAAGCAAAGCAGGTGTTGGGACACAAGAGCTTAATAAACTCACTGACTTTCAAGTAAAGTGACTGATCTTACTCAGCTTATGCAGAAATTCTTCCAAAAGCTCGCAAAAAATTAGGAAGGGTTGCTCTCTTAATATGTAGCAAAGTGCTCGTGCAGTATCTTACAAAACATGTTTTTCCTCGAAATGATGGATAAACTTGCTCAAGCAAAACTTTGAGCAACCTAGTTCTAGATAACATGAAGTTTTTGGAAATAATCTGAATCTGTTGTATTTTTTTTCTTCCCCCACTGCTTACTCAGTGACAACAATCAAGGAAAAAGCATCTGTGCTGTTGAAGTGTTTGTATTTGTAAATAACTTATATTTTTACATCTTACAAATAATATATGTAAATATGTATATGTTTTATAACTGTTTTTATTTTTTTGTAGCAGCAGCTTTTGACTTCCCTGCACAAGCATTTTATAGAAAAAAAAAAATAAATGCAGTGGTATTTTTCCAGATCTACTTTTGTTTTATGTTCCAGTGATGGTTTATTGGCAGCCCTTTCCTGTAAGTATTAAGCTCAATTTATAACAAGGGCTGACCTGGTACCTTAGGGCATCGTATGTTGGGAGTTTAGGCTGGGTGAAGCTTGGAGAAAGAGTATAAAATTGTTGCGCAAAGTTAGTGAAGAATTGCACTGTGGTTTGTATATTTAACATGCAGCTGGGCTGCAGCTGACTAGAACTAGGAGCACATTTGATAGGACAGCAGTAACTGATTCAATTTCTTACTTTGTAGGAATTTTACTAAATTTAGGTACTTTGACCTTGTCTTGCACATGATCAGTCATACAACCAAGTGTGCTAACACTCCTTATGGTGTTCATGTTAATCCTTAAGTACTCCTACTTCCTTAGAGGTAGAAGAGAGGCCGAAGTTAAGTGGAACAGTGGGATCCCAAAGGGGTTGGGGAGTTTGAGGAGCTGACAGTGGCTTGCTTGCACATGCAGTCTAGGCACAATCAACAGAGCTATAAAACCCTTAGGAAAGATGTTTCAACACAGCTTTTTCAGAGCTGCAGGCTCAGCATAGAGCTGACGTGTCAGTCCTTCCTGTTCAACTAGTCTCTAATACAGACCATTTTTGATTATTTTGTCATGTCCAAATCAAGGAAATAGTTTGCAAATAAAGAATTTGGCCCTAGGAACATCAAGAAAGATACACAAGTAGCACATAAACAAAACCAGCCTTAAATCCAAAAGGATGAGTTCGTTGTTTTTAATTATTCTTTCAGTTGAAAAGTGTACCCTCTCCTGTTGCATCTTAATGCTTACAGGTACAATGACTACATGGTAAATGACTTAACTGTTACAAGTCCTTGATAAACCAAGTAGGATGCATAGCTCTTATGCTGACTCTAAGGTTTTTTGAATATTCTTGTAGATATAAACACATACACATGTCCCTAAATGTACATAAGTACAGCCTTCTTAGCAGAAATATCTTGTGTTAGTACTTCTAATCTTAAATCAACTGACTTTTCAAGTAGCAAGTCAACCTTGATAAGATGCAGGTCAGCACTGTATGTTAAAAACTTGCATTATCAGCCACCATGATTACTTTTACTTCAGACATGGTATAATCTAGTTTGATGTGCAATCTTAATGTAGAAATAGTTGAAGAAAGCCTAAGAGGTAGACAGCAGAGGGCAAAAAGGCATGAATGCTTGGGAAGAACAATCACAGAGCTTGTAAGGAACAGTATGAATTAAGTGCAGTTACATTACACTGTTACCTAGATGATAAAAAAAAGCAGAAGCCCTACCTTTGGATAACAAGAACATGTTTTCTAAGAATGAGGGGATGATAATCCATATCAAGAAAGCCATAGCTTAAAACACACCAAACCTAGGAAAATAAAAACAACTCTCATGGCTAAAGAATTTCAAACCTTGCTTTCTTATGTTAATCATTATGTAAATATATTTCTGTGCATAGGCTACCACTTTTTAGGGATATTCTGTATTATACAGCTAGTCACTGCAGAAGAAGAGACTTGAATCTCTTTTTATCCTTAACCCTTTTAATCCTTTTAATAAGTTACAGCTAAAATAGTCCTTCCAAGTTGCCAAACTTTCTCACTCTTAAGTTGGAAGTTAGCTAGCCTAAAGAACAACAGTAATAAAAACCTTACAACATCTATACATTGTCCTAACATGCAGGACAAACTCAGTTGTAACAATGCTAGCTGTTTTGAAAACTTTTGCTTTTCTCATGTTTGAAGTAACTTTCGGTTTCTATAATTCTACATACTTCATTTTGCAGTCTGTTTCACCAGCAAAACACAGCATTTCTAGTACTATTTATTATGAATTAATATACGAGATGCTTATAAAAGCCAAGTCCTCTCTCACAACATTTTGCAATTCTGCAGCAGGAAAGCACTAGAGAGAATAAAACGTCTGTATTCCCTTCAGTCAGTATTGAAAAAATAATCTTTTAATTCAGTAGTCTTTTAGTGTTGGAACAATTGGTTACATAGGAATACTTAATTACATTTAATAAATTTAGTAAGCATCAAATATTAGACACATGAAACAGCAGATACAGCTCTCACACTGCAGTTATTCCTGTTTTTCTTTCCCCAGTAGTACCGAAACTGATAAAGCACCCCATACAGATGAGTTTAGGCCCCATTATGAAGGAAAATATTATTTCGCTTTTTAAAATAAACACTGAATGATTCAAACATTGTAAATTCCTGCTTCTCATACCACATTATCAGAAAAAATAAGTCTACAGATAATAGTCAACACCTGAAGAGCCAGTTTCCTCCTTTGTACTTAATTAACACTTGTTGCTCAGCACAGGACATTCATTCTCACTGATGACAATGGAAGTGTAAACTATCATGCTCAGTATTTCCTTCTTGTAATAAAGTTAAGAAAAACTGTGTATACCTCAGCTCTGTGCAGGTTACCTTTTTTGTTAAAAAAATTGCACATATGATTTACTGTAGTTCAAGTAGCAGCCACTGAGCCTGTGATTTTCAGTGGCTCTTAAGCAACTTAAGTACCCAAATCCCAAATGAACTGCTTGTGAAGTAGGCACCTACCTTCCTCTACAATTCATGTTTCACTTGAAATCCTGGAGATTTGCTACCGATATGCAATAGCTTTCGAAGAGACATTTTATATTAACGGGTGCTTACAAATTAGCAAACTGAACATCAGAAGGTTCACTGAAGTAGTGATGTTTCCATACAAAGTGCATGCAGCTCAACTAATCCTGTAGTTAGAAGAGAGTTACTAATCCTGATTCACAGAATCAAGATAATATTTCTTTTACTTCTTTCTGGAAAGGATGCACTTAACCTGTGACTTTAACAGCTACATTCAGTACACGCGTGCATCATTTGAATTGTACACACATCAAATGTGCCATTGTGTTGATCTAACTTGTTCACATCCCTTCCTCTGCTGCTAGAAAAGCAGAATGCCAAAGCTCTACTGCAGCAGGTGTAAACATATTAGGATACGACCAAGTTACGTGTTCTGTCAATTTGCAAGTACAGGTCTACAGTTCTTAGCGTACAGCCAACAAGGTCAGTGGTTAGGCACTCCTCATTAAAAAATAGTAATAAACTATTATTTCTGGTTGGGTTTTTTAAAAATATTCTTAAATATTTAACAGTTCTCTTCATGCATCCTTCCATATCTGACAGAAAATGCAATAAGTCTCTTGTATACTATCTCCAAGAGTAAGAGAGACACTACAACTACTCCACAGATTAAGCTAAATGCCCAGCGTGGTCCCAGGTGAGTGTATATTTGGCTCACAAAAACAGGCCCAAGTATTCGTGCTCCACTTCCAGAGGCAGTTAACCATCCCATGTAGACACCCTACAGAAGACCAAAAGCTTACGTTAGTGATACAGGAATTATCTGGCTAGCCAATAATTCCCACCAATTATCCTAATGAGAAAATTTAGAAGCGTTTAAGCAATTGCTTATCTTAACTCATTAAGACAGAGTACTTAGTTTCCAAGAGTATTGGTCAGATTCTCTAAGCATTAATTCAAAGGCTCCACTGAGCTACATACTCTATAGCTTTCTAATAAAAAGGCATTCTGTCCCAAAGCTTTTAGTCTCTTATAGCAGAATATTAACAGGGAAAAAATAAGAGGTGAAAAAGGAAGACCATTTTTTATTAAGCAGTAATATCAGCTTGCTAGGTGTTTCACCACTGTAAAATATCAATAACTGGAGGTATCACAGCATTTGTAGTCTTTATAGAATATACTTAGTAAGAGGAACCTTCTTCCATACTGATCTTCCAAATATATAATTGGTTGTTATAAAAATGACTCTTCCAGAACAGTTGTGAAAGCCATAGGCTTTGGGCTTAGTTATTCTGAAATTTCCATGCTGTAAGACTTGGCATAAATTGTAGTACAATTCTTTCCTCTAGGGTCTTACCATGGATTTTAAAAAAAGATTAGCGTTCCTGGAAACTTCTGCCCTGGTTGAAACGTATTACAGTTTTGCTAATGACAACAGGAATTTTAGCTAGATCCCTCATGCTAATAAAGAGGGCACAAATCTTGGAGAGCAAATGAAATAAACTGTTTAGGTGTCATACTTACCTGAGGCTTTGGCCCTAGAATTTTTGAGTATAAAGTGTAGGACATGACATTACAAACTGGATAGCCCAATCCTATGAGTATGTCAGAGCTGATATACTGGGCCAGATAGATGATAGGAGTATTCAGGCACCAGGACTGAGTGACGGGACAGCCTACAGGTTCTGCTGTGTGATTGGATGGAAGCTGCATTTCTTGCAAACTCCAGAAAGGCATTAACATCTCAATGGAAGTTGTTCTGGGAATGGAGTTATTCTTTATTTCTGTAAAAATAAGTTATGCACAGCATTAAGAAAAAAATACAATAAAAGCTTTCACCAAAACATTACAATAGTTTAGGATGACTTGAATTATACCTTGCCACTGGATATTTGGTAGTTTTTTCCCCCAAGGCAGTAAGATAAAGAATCCAACCAAGACAATCATTAAGCCTCCGTGGAGTATGGCACGCTCACCAGTCCTATCAAACAATGAAATTACAAAGTAAGATTTATGAAGGTGCTAATGACATAGCCCGTTACTTTGTTGAAAAGATGCCTGACCACAACACCTGCAAGAGAAATTGCAAAAATCACAGTAACTTAAAACCTATTTTTCTTGTGATTCAAGGGTAAAAGACAGGTAAGGAAGGGGGTTATGTTAACAGAATAAAGAACTACAGTATCGTGGCTGTGTCAAAACTGGAAGTACTTCATTGTCATAGTAAACCCAAATTCATTAGCAAGTAAAATATGTACGTAATGCAGATTTGGACTTGCCACAAAGCTTTTCAGACTTAGCTAACATAGGTAACAAAATTCCGATAAACTCCAAAAACTTACTTTTTAGATAGCGTTTTGACCACCATGAAAACAATAACCGATTCAATGCCAACCACACTAAGGATTATTCCATTATAAAAAACAGCTTCTTTCCTGGTCCAGGAATACATATCCATCGTCAATGGAGTAGCTATACTAAATTGACAGAACAAAATAACATTAATTTAAAAAAAGCTTCTTCTATACAGCCGTTTCCATACAGATCATAGAATCATAGAATGGTTTGGGTTGGAAGGGACCTTATAGCTCATCTAGTTCCACCCCCCTGCCATGGGCAGGGACACCTCCCACTAGCCCAGGTTGCTCAAAGCCTCATCCAGCCTGGCCTTGAACCCCTCCAGGGATGGGGCATCCACAGCTTCTCTGGGCAACCTGTTCCAGTGCCTCACTACCCTCATAGGAAAAAATTTCTTCTTAATATCTAGTCTAAATCTCCCTTCTTTCACTTTAAAGCTGTTACCCCTCCTCCTATCACTACACTTCCTGATAAAGAGTGCCTCCCCACCTTTCCTGTAGGCCCTGTCCCAAACACCAAACACAGTGGTATAAAAGCCTTTCCTCCTGACAGGCCTATCAGAAAACACAGGCTAGTTATAAAGTTATAAACTAATTTGGTCATGCATCATTTATTAAAAATAAATCCGCTAGACAAAATTCACAACTGCATTATTCCAGGCATACACTGAAGCATCCTTAAGCTATTTTCAGTAGTTCATGAAAAGACAATGGAGTTAAAGCAAAGCAAGAGTAATAGAGAGAAGAAAAATCAGGCCCTGTGAGTATAAAAATAATAAACATTTAATACTGTTTCAGTTTTAGCAACCAATCAGTCTCTAGGAACTCAATTTTCTAAAAATAATGGAACTAAGACATATCGTTAGAAGAAATTTTAGCTACATTACAGCTCAAAAAAACTTACAAAATAAATCTTTAAAAAAAATAAATCTCAAAGTATTTTATAAATAAAAAAAGTAAAGTAAACTTCAGTCTGAGGTAATGTTATATTTTACTTATTTTCTTACAGACAGAAAATTTGAGAGTAACACACCTTTTTAGGTAAAAACTACAGTCATGTAGAATAGTGTATTTAAGAATACAATTGCATTAACTGTATCAAACAACTGTTTTAATCATTACTGAAAAAAGAGCATTGCTGGAGCTTTTGCAGCTAATTAGAATAATACTAAGAAACTACATAAAATTTAAATAAAAAGTATAGAACAAGGTACTCAACTGAACATAGTTTCTCTGAAGATTTTAAATAGCCCAAGTTAAGATACTTAGCTACTTTCCCTTTTTGTTTTTTTTAACACTTGAAATGTTGAGGATATGGGTTTGCATCCATTCAAAAGTTTTGACATTAACATTTTATATACTAAATTGATTGCATGTGGTTTTGGACTTCTATTGATGAAGCGTATGGTTAAGTAAATGAGTGCAACAGAAAAGTCTTTACATGCACACCCAGTCTAACTACATTACATGTCTTAAGTATTTTGCGATAAGATAGACAAACTTACGTTTCATAGACAGCAAATACAAACAAGATGACAAAGAAAAGAAAATTGATTGCTACCACAGCAACGTGGTCAATGTTTCCTTCTGCGTTCTCATCCAGAACACCACTTTCTGCAACAAAACAAAGTAATAATTTAAAGTGCAAACTGAGCTTTTTTTACACTACCACAAATTACAAACAATAACGATTTCCTTACTCTGTTAACTACTTAACATGCAGTTTGGTGGGCAGCTGGGCAGTTATATTTTGACAACCTAAGTATGATGTTTTTAAATCAAAATGGAATTGTTGAAACTTCAATTTCTTTAACAATGAGGGAAAATTATTTCCAAATTGGTTATACCATCTGTTGTTCCACTGTAACACAAAGACTGACAAGTCCTGAGTGAAAGCAAAATAAGCAAACTTCTTTAAATGTCTTTACAAGGGAAACCAAAACACTTTCTATTCCTCTTGCAAGGTCAAAAGTACACAACTTTCAAAAGGAGATTCTCTGTTCTATCATGGAGCCTTTGTTCCTCTAACCTGGGCATAGCATTTTCATACACAAAACACCCATGTGTAGTGTGCTCCCTTTTTATTTAAACAGGATACTAATACAATACTGAAACTGGTGACTTCCATAGATCATCTTTCACACATTTTTTATTCTTCAAGTGAAAGGGTTACTCACAACATTTAAAAACATTTGAACTGTGTACAAAAAGGGTATATACTGAAGATAAGCTGTTGCACTGTATGTGGCAATTACTGTACTGTAGTCTCAGCAAACAAATTTACTTACGCAATACACACCTTTTCATAAGATGCTGTATGTGAAAGGTGATTATGCAATAACAATATCAGTCACCACAATACAGAACTAAAGTATGGCTGCAGAGTGGAGGTTAAGGGAGATTTTTTTGATGCCCATATTCACTTAATCCGGTCTCTTCAAAAGACAGTTCCAAGGTGAAAATCTTGAAGGATTCACATAATATTTTCTGTTTCTTTGCTACCAGACAGCACTATGGACACATCTGGACACAACATGGATGTGAACCAATTTCTAGAACAGTTAGAAAGAGTTGTAGCCTATTTTCCACTTTGAGTTCCTAATTAATCAGACTTCAGAATACTTCTAAATGCTGTGTGTAATAACAGAGTACTTCAAAATTATAGTCACAGAATAAGTTTTCAACATAGATACCTTCTCCTTCAGAATTTATACTTTTGCATTGCCGTCCCATGTCATCCACTCGATGCTCTCTAGAAATTCAGAACCGTTTTCATTAATACATATATTTATTTGATGTACTATTGAGTCAGGTTTCCATTAAAATATTTCTAAATGGCATAATTTTATAATTATTCCCAACTCCTTTAACCATCATCTGTGTAGTCTATATTTGACTGCAGTGAACACCATCATATTCAAGAAAGGAAATATTCTAGCGGGAGGATATCACATATATGCATGCATCTCTCCACTCCCCTCACTGCCACCAATGGGATAATGCATAAAAATCCCCCCTTGAGATTCTTAAAAGGCACAAACAGTGAGAACCCTATGGACAAGCTAACCTTATGTCTCTTCAGAAAAAAAACATGGGCAGAAACCGTCAACATAAAAAAGATATCAAGGCTAAGCTAACAATGTAACAGCTCTAACTTCTTAATCAGTTTACAGCCTAGCCATAACATCACTATGATTAACTTATTAGCATAATGAAAAAGATCCATATTAAAGAATGTAGGAACCCTGAAAAATAAATAACAGCTTACTTTCAGCACTACAGATTTCAGGTTTATTACTCCTCCTTCTTAGGAGGGTATTATTCATTACAAGCCACCCACTAAAACAAGGTAGAACATTTATCTTTTTTGACTTGATTACCTGAATATGGCAAAGATGAGAACAATATTAATAACTCCTAAGAGAGCTCCAAATAAAACCGGTGCTGTATACATGTTCAGCTGAAGATGAACTAGTTTCCACGTTATTCCTTCTTCTCCAATAAGTGTAAAACATGTCTGAAAAACTTAAAAACATAAATGTATTAAGAAAATAATGAGAATCATTAAGAAAATATTAGAACACATACAGAATAAACATATAAAAATGGATAAGCAAGGCTGTTACAATTGCTAAATAAAATTTAAATATTATACCTGTCAAACCTCTTAAATTTTGAGAACCTTGCTCTAAATAAACTGATGGACACCAGTGGGATCTCAACTAGCCAGAAAACTACTCGGTTAGATACAAGTATACTGTGTAAGCACCAGCGCAACACTTAAAGAACTGGAACAGAATTCTGAATGTATCAATGGTTAATTTTCTTGGCCATGCACAGACAGCTGATTTACTCTTTTTACTCTTCTCCCTACATGGAAAACATTGGTCCTGAGACTGGAATATCCCTCCTGCTAAGGGCAAGCTAGAGAAAAAAGAAGTTGATCAGTTTTTTGTTTTGTTTTGTTTTTTTGTCCAGAGCAAAAGATTGTAAGATAAGTCCTCTGCTTCCTCCTGCTAGGGAACAGACTGAGAGTCCCTATCAAACAAGGAAAGGGAATTAGCTAAATTTGTACTTTATGCAAATCATGCAGACTACTTGTTGCTGTAGTCCCTTTAATGCTCTTATCAACAGCACTAGCAATAATCAACCAGAGAAAAAACTTTCAGCCCTAAATGTTCCCTTCATTATATTACTATACACAGAGCACTTCAGCTCTACTAATTGGGTAATCTTAACTCTCCAGCTACAGTAGTCAAGTCATCAGAAGAGGCTGTTTAGGACAACATTGCTGATTTCTCTTTACAACACAAGGTAAGTCTAACACATTTCTCCCATGAAACAGAGAAAGATATAGGTGCCCCGATCTGACAGACACCCCTTGAGCTCTTTGTTCCCTTATCTCTCTGTAATACCTATGCTGTGTCTTAAAATTTTTGCCTGTATGAAGATTTTGTGATCATCACTACAGGATCAGAAAGATGTGTTGGATGGTATTTTCTACAACATGAGAGGCAAGGTGAAATTTTCAGTCATTTCTGAAAGGCGGAAATGTTTGCCCAAGTACAGTAATGTTAATTTTCCTTCTCCATTAATAAAATGCAAGTGGTCACAGACAGTTCAGTGGGTCCTGGTTACAAGAGAGAATCTTGGGACTTGTACTTCCTGCAGCCAGCAATCCAAACCAGCTAATTTTAAACTACAAACAATTAGAATTTCTTTGGACTGGAATATTTCATTTATATTGGCATACACAAGTATATATATGCAGATCCCATTTATTCAATTTTGACTATGCCTTAAAATCCCCAGCCAATGCCCAATTTCATCCCAAAAAAATATCAGAGAATTGTGGAAAGAAGATATGCTTTACCTGGTCCTAATATGAAGCCAACTGCTTGGCAGGCACTGGTATTGGCCATGGCACTTGTTCTTTCTGTAAGAGAAGTGGCACCCGCAATATACGATCGAACTACAGCTACATTTCCTTAAAAAAAAACAAAACCAAGAAAGCGTTCGTGTCAATACTAAGTTATATTCTTATATTATCCAGTTACACTTATTTTGGGGGTTTTTTCTTATTTTGCAATAACATAAAACCCAGCACTCCCTCTAGTATTCATATGCAACTGAATAATTACACAATTTTATTACAAACTAGTATTGGCCAACTCTATGCTTTGTTAAGTAATAAGTTTTCAGTCACATGATAGTAAATCCGGTACTAAAATATCATGTTAACTATCTTACATAAGACATAGAACTTGGTAATTATCAGAAATGTAAATTCTGCTGTGGTTACCTGCTCCAAATCCCACAAGAGCACGTGCAGTCAGCATGTAGTATTTGTTGTATGAATGAGGTACATGGACATAGGCATAAAGACAATTAGCAGCTACGGAAATAGCAGTTGAAACAACGAGAGGTTCTCTCCTTGGCCTGTAATTGGACCACAAGCCAAAGAGGGGAGAGGCAACCATTTGGCCAATGCTATATGAAGCTATAATCCAGCCCAGGAAACTCGCATCTGCTGTCGGATCAATCTGCAGAAACAAATTAATCAATTCTATGGGTAAAATATTATAGTATTTTATAATACCAACAAACCATTTTAGAGTTACTACCTGAAAAACCTAAGCCTCTGCATTGTAATTCTGAGGGTATACGGCACTATGCAATGCAGTGTCAAACCTAAGCTATGGCTAAATATGTTAGAGTGCCTGCATGGCATATTGCAGTGCTATACAAACACACCACTCTGGGTCTCAGAAGCAGTTGTTTTCATCTAGTACTTTGTCTGGGGCAATAAAACTTGGCTAAGTGTCTCCAGCAATGCACCAAACCAACAAAAAGTGCTTTGTTTCTGAGACTGGAAATGGCTCACTTGCAGCAAATTCAAATAGCCTTTTTACAGCACTGCTGATCTTATGGGCTACAGACATAACTTAAGCAGTACCACAGATGATTTATAGGCCAGGAGCAAGGAATCACTTAAGTAATCTCTGTACATGCCTAAATCTGTCCTAATTTACAAGGCTGGATATGCACTTTCTTTTCTTCTCCAAGAATTCAGCACCAGCCTCAATTTTAACAGTATCACTAGGACCCTGCCCAGGATATGTTCTTTCAAATTTCCATCTGGAACTGCCTTCTACAATTCCAGGAACAGCAAAATCATAGCATAGATTGAACTAAGATCTGAGAGACCTTTTAGGCCACTTTTAACAAGAACACAACAAAGAAAAAAAACGAAAACAAACAAACTAGAAGCACTGTCCAAGAACATAGGCAATCCCCTATTAGGAATATCAAGAAGGTCTACATACAGCAATCTGACATTACAGAGCAATTTCTACCTTCAGCTTGTTTGTTTTTTTTTTTCTTCCCCCAAAATGCAGACAAGCCTTTTATATTACGTTTTAACACTACAAATGAAGTCAGGTTTTTAATTGACTCACTGTCTAAGAAAACAGTGAAATAATATTGGAAAATCAAACATTTCTTGATTATGACATACCTTTTCAATTTGGCAAATCAACTGACAGATAAGTGGATGGCAAAAATAGAAGTCTCATATAACCACACACTTCCCCTTACTGTTTCTCTTCCTAAATAAAATGCCAAGTTTTGTACTATATACTTTCTGAGCAGAAGTTTTGTGTTCTTATTACATCAAAAAAACCCAACACATATTTACAAACCTTTTGCAGATATGGCCACACAGACATAATTACAATTGAGAAACCTGCAATGTAGTAAAAACATAACTCAAGTTACTTTATTTGTGATGTTTATCAGTAATTTGCTTGACTGAAACACTTATTACAGGTTCATTCTTCTGCTCTTAAGTCTCTTATAGTCTAGAACCGTGCATCTGTCTGTCACCTCAAAAAACTACATATTATATGCTTGTTTAAGGAGTGATAATTCCTCCTAAGAGGAGGACCTGTTTTCAAAAAGACATTTTATAGGTGCATACACACTAAACAAACAAACTTATGGAAAGAGAAGGACCTGTTTTCAAAAAGACATTTTATAGGTGCATACACACTAAACAAACAAATTTATGGAAAGAATACTGATGTGCCAAGCAAACTGCATGGGATTTTTCCTCACAATGGAAAGAAAACAAGGTTCCCAGAGTAAAAAGAATTTCTTGATACACTGAGACATTTGTATTCATTTAGCAAAGAAATTTTAATTCAGCTTAGTTTAGCTTAGTTTTGAGCAATAACCTCACTCTACCACTACCTTTTACCCTGAACTATTAACAAAGCCATAAAACAAAGGTTTAAATAACAGTAATTTAGTCTCAAAACACACTATTATTTAACTTACCTTATTAAGCCTAACTTTCTGTTTGATTTGCTAGTCATATATTCTCTTTTGAAGAATCAGAAAATGCACCTTTTTAAGGTTATAAAATAACAGTAGCATTACAGGAGCTATGTAGTTGAAATCCAGAAAACCCTATAATTTTCAAACCAAAATGTATTAATTAAGCAAATAACATTAAAATCCACCTCTGTTTACTCACCTACACTACTGAGAAACATAGTAAGATACATAATCCAGATGGATCGCCATCTGCTCTTACAATGCTCTTGTGTTTCCACAACATCCCTGTTTTTGAACCAAAAGAAAGAAAGAAATCATTATCAGATTATCTTCTAGTTGTTCCCCCAGGACACTGAAAACATTTTTCACAGACCTCTCAATACAATTGTGTAAATTGTTATTCAGAAATGGACTTCTACACAGCAAAGAATACAAATAATTTATTTTAGAAGCAAACTAAGTTTTCACTGAAAAATACTAGATTGACAAATCAAAAAACTAATACAAATGCTACCACGTACCATTGCATTCAAGTGTTACACAAAGATCTTTATCTAGAGAGATCCTCAATTCTGCAATCTCTTTGTATAGACACTTTGGAGCATCACAGATATCATGTAAAGGATTTAAGAAGTGCATATTAAACCATAAAACCCCAGACATCTTCTCAGAACTTTGACTTTAAAGCAAAAAGCCAAAACCTGAACAACTACTGATTAGACTCAGTCTATTCTTACCATGAGAAAATAACTATAGAATGTAAAAGATGGGTGTAAAAGATATTGCTGAAGATCATAAGGGCTGCAAAAAAATTTAAAACAGAAGTTACAACTTCACGAGCAGTAATTTTTCTAAAATTCACAAACACCTTCTGAGAGCCACATACTTTTTCAGTAGCAACAACATTTCAGGGTTGTTCACTCCTCTTGGTTTTGAAGTATTCTAAACAAAACATTCTCTGTCGAAAAGATGTGGATGTAGGTTATATACTCCTGAACATAACTTATAAGCATTGTTTCTGTAGGCCATACATAGCCTTAGGTATACACACAATTTTAAAGCTAATATAGCTATGCCACAGCATGATTTGTACGTTTATTTCTTCAGAAATGTTTATACCACTGAAGTGTCTTGGTTCAATGAAACTTTAACCACAAAAACGATGTTTCTAAATGCAGTTTGTAATCTCATTGTCCATCACGCATAGGAAGAAGCCATTTAAAGTCTTCCATACGCTATGCATATGCTATGTCAGGTCACTTTCCAGATTTCAGTTCACTGAAGCCGTACTGTTCAGGTGTGAGAACGCTGCAGCACAGAGGGCAGCAGCAGGAGCTCCCCTACACAGTCAGATACTGATGTTTTCCTGACAGGAGGGAGAAACCAAGTGGCCACCTGCTGCCCCCACAAGAAGACTGCTCTTAAATACCCAGATTACAGCACCACAACAATCGATTTTCATGCTTTTTAGAAACTTCCCAAGCGAGTGCGTTGGGTTTTTCCACAGCCGGAACCA